AATATGACAAACATAAAATTTCTGTAATTTATTTATCTATCAATACAATTTAAAATTTGATGTACAGCCTTAAGTCTGTAATTTTGACACAATCTGGAACAGATTTTTACGAAGAGCAAATCTTTCCCACTAAATTGGTCATGTGAGGTCATAAGGGACTCCAGGGGATTAATCAAATTAACCGTTATCGGCTAAATACAATTAATCGTGATAAATTTTTTGCCAATATTACCCAACCCTATATGCAGTATCTAGTTTAATCTGAATGCATTTCAATCCAACCACAGAATGTTTTGCATGTAAACAATGAGAGAAGACAAATCACTGAGTTCAGGCTTGTTGTCCTCTGTGTGCTTCAGCTTGGTGAGCAGATCCTGGGCCTCTGCTGCGTTCCCGTCCACATCCGGGTCAGAATTCTTCACCAAGTCCTCCTGACGTTGTAAAAAAGCACAGAGCTCAACAGACACGGAACAAAATGGATTYAAAACATGAACGAGACGCGACGGCTCACCAGCCGAGCGACAGCCTCAGAGACGGCGTCCTGCAGCCGGATGTGGTGCAGTTTGTAGCGCTCACAGATCCGTTGGGACACGGTGCTCTTCCCGACCGCAGGAGGACCCAGGACGCAGAGGCGGAGGGGCTGCAGGGGACACACAACATGGCCGGCTCGACTACAACTCCATGACGTAAAGTGTGGTTTTTACATCTGGGTCCAGTTCCCACCAGCAGCCCCCGGTTCTGCCGATACTCCTCCACCACCAGCTCCACGTTGTCCACCAGACCCGACTCACACAGCCAGCTGCTGGAGAACAGCTTCTTGATGTGGACGGCCTCCATCCGAAGGTTCACCTGCAGGTAATCCATTTCCACCTCCTGTCAGGAAGAAACCGTTTTGGAGCAAAATGTTTTAATAAGAGAAAACAAAGATCCAGAGAGGTTACAGCCTCTGTGAGGGACTGAGCCCCACCCAGCAGGTTCCAGCTGAAACCAGGACCACATCCTGGTAACATGTGGTGGGAAATGTCCAAACGTTCCTGCAGCTTCTAGTCTAACTAATCTGAGCTAATCTGACAGTTAGAGATGAAATGAGAACATCCTACACTCAGGTCCTGGATGAGGTAGATGTCCTCCAATGGCCTCATCTGGATCTCTTTTGGTCCCAGAGCCGAGGAGATCGCCTGGTGGAGAAAGCAAACGTTWAAGTGACGGTGACATCATATTTTTATATTAAACGAAAATGCATTTTTGGAAAGACAACATTAATAGCATATTAGAAAACAATTTTCATGCTGCTGGGATGAACAGTTGTTGAGATATTTGCATGTAAAAACAGCAGGAAGTGACGTCAAAGGGGAATGTCTGCATGTGAACAGAGGGTTATTAAAATGACTAACAACACAKACTGTGATTTGTCTTTAAATTRTTTTGAGTCACTATCAGGGACAGWTGAAGAGGAGTTCGAGTTTAAATTATATTATTTCAATAAAGACCAGAGAGTTCCTTTTCTTRAATATTTCCCCTTTGATGTCACTTCCTGTTTCACTTTGGCTGAGCCAAGTTCAAAAGAAAATATGCCAGTTATGTTACAAAAYGGGCAAAATTGCGTGTTTTATGTCAGGTTTCTTAAATATAAAGATGTTTTCTTTGCCTTTTTGTATTTGAAGAAYAYGYATGTCACAGGAACTTTAAAGTTTCAGCTCCTGATTTCTGACCAGTTTCTGCTCACCTTCACGATTTCCTCCATGCTGTTGTTGGACGAGTCCACAGCCAGCAGGTAATACGGCCGAGGCTGATGCTCGATCACGTTCTGCAGAACTCTGACACACAACACACACCGTCATCACACTCACACACATGCTGTGAAGCCTCAAACATCTGGAACACCTGCTGAGGGGGAATCACCTGGCCAGGTCACTGATGTGGATCGTTGGAACGATGTTCTGCCCGTCTCCAAACACTGAGATCGTCCTGTCCTGTCCCAGCCACGATGTCTACAAAACCAGTGAGCTTTCATTACAGACGGCTTTACAAACTGTGGCAGAAACTGATTTAATCACATGAATTTA